AGTCATTATATATCCACCTTGAAGTCTCTTATTCAATCGGATACCTGCCACAAAGATAGAAACAGCAGTGTAAGCCTCTCTCAACTCTGTAGAATGGCAGGAGGGAGTTCTCGAACATATGTGTTATAGCAACAGCAGGTTTATGTGTACCCGCACACACATATGAGCGAATGTGTGTGTGTAGCTGAAGTTTGGAGCTTTGTGCAGGTACCTGAATTTCCTATTATCACTTTGATTCAAATTCAACAAGGTAATGCAGCATCAAATATTAGACTTTCACAGTGCTTCTTTCTGATTATTTTGTGGATCATACTTTACAACTCACCTCTTTTGTGTACGCAGACCAACCTGTATTTAACTCCCTTGTTTTCCTGCTTATTCGGTGCTAGGATAACTGCTGTTAATTAAGTGCTCCTTTGCTTCTCAGCCTCACTGATAACCTATCTTAGCAATGAAAATATTTTTCTGATGCTCCTGTATTTTCACTTTTTTTTTCTAAATTAGCTTTTCCTACCTGAAGGAAAATGGACTGATTATGTTTAACAGGCACTGTAATAAAATTTCAATGTCATTTTATTAAACATTACTAGCTGATATATGTGAGAATCTCTCTCCACAATTTGTTTTTCTCAAACAGCTTCCAAACAAAGTTTTAGTTTCAGAGGAAAAAGTGAGAAGCTTACACAAGAATGCATTTGAAAGTCTGGTTTGATTGTATTCATTTTGAAGATGTAAATCTGTCTTTGTGTATGTTTGCAGAGCAGTGGGGACAATGGAGACCCAGTCCTGACTGGAGCCTCTAGGCCCTATCATGATATAAATAATAATTGAAAATACTAATGAACATACTGTGAAGAAAAGGGAAGATACAGCAGCTCAAGTTTATACTGCTGTTACTGTTAGTTTCAGAAGATAAGTCCAACACAAAGCTTGTGCATTTACAGTGACATTCCTTTGCAGCATCTTTCTCCTTCAGAACCTTGGAATTAATTCCTTGGAAATTGACTTTTCTTTTACATTGCCTTTTTATAGTCACTACCCGTGAAAGAGTTTATACCGCTCTCTGTAATGTCTCTATGCACGTTTTATTTCTGAGTGATATATTACTTAAGGTTTTTCCAGTAACAATTTCCCTTTGGATGCAAAGCTTTGGCTAGGTCTTCCATGTCTCACTAACTGGGAATGTTGCAAACCACAGAATTTATAGCTGAGATTTGACCCACTTCACACATGACAATGCAGAGCTTTAACTGAAGATTCAGTGCAATTCTCACAAGTTATTCCCAGCTATAATTACTTTCCCCATGCAAAATATTTGCATTATAAAATGTATTCCATGTATACATTGTTAAGTACCTTTTCCAATACTTAAAGTTATCCTAAAACCTATGAGAAAAATACACTTCAAGTGGAAAAATATCAACAGTCATTATCTAGATAAAACGTTTTTAGAAAGGTGTTCATAAGCCGATGAAGTCTGTGTGTATATACCTGCAAACACACTTCACAAGAAAAAGTACTTCCAGAGTATGAGAAGTATCAAAGAAGTCATGAACTTGGAATTAGTCACTCTTGATTAATTATATTAAGATGAAATTTTGGTACTAAGCGTGAGACAGGTGCCTAGGGTCCATTGAAAGTTACTTGAGGTAGATAGGTTTATGGGGTCAGGCTGGGATGGACTTAATTTTCCCCATGGCATCCCTCGTAGTGCTTGTTTTGTGTTGGTATCTACAAAGGTATTGATAACACACCAGTGTTTTGGCTACTGATGGGGAGTGCTGGCACAGCACCAGGGCTGTCTCTCCAACATTACTCCCTCACCAGTAGGCATGGGGTGGTTAAGATCTCAGGAGGGGACACAGCCAGGATAGCTGACCCAAGCTGAGCAAAGGGATACTCCAGTGGCACCTACTCAGCAATAAAAGGTAAGAGAAAGGAGGCAATGAAGATAGGGGGGCGGTTTTATTATTAAAGTGTTTGTCTTCAGGAGCAACCGCTATGCATACTCAAGCTCTACTTCCCTGGAAGTGTTTGGACATCACCTATTGATGGGAAGTAGAGAATAAATTTTTTTTTTTTCCTTTGCTTCTTCATGCAACTTTTGCTTTTCTTCATTAAACTACCTATATGTCAGCTCATGAGTTTTTAATCTTAATTTCTTCCCCTGTCTCTCTGAGAAAGGGGAGTAAGAAAGCATCTTGATGGTCATCTGGCAGCCAGCCAAGGTCAACTCCCCTCAGTAGATATCCCAAGAGAATGATTCATACTTGTCTTGGAGGATGGTCTTGGGATGCAAAGAATAATTTTATCCAGGTAGAGTGAGTGGGAAAAATCCCTCCCTAATTACCCCTAGGTCTTTCCTAATTTTGGTGATACACATTGAATGAGTGATTATAATACCTAATGGGTAATATTCTGAAAAAAACCATACTGCATAGGTGCTTTAGCTTAACTCATTACGTTGCACGTGTTCCTCAATTCACGTTGAAATTAACAGGGACAGCACACTGAAGGCATCTGAAGTCCTAGAACCAGTTGGTCTCCTGACCTGCTGAAAATCAGTTGGACACACAACCTGGGTAAAGTTTTCATTTTGTCAATGACTCTAAAAACGTGATAAACAGAATGATTTCTATTTGCACTTAACTGAATTTTAAAATCTTAAATTGAAGACAGCAACAACAGAAAATGCTTTTTTTGGTTTTTTCTCCACTATTTCAGAAGCCTAAAGATATGATTCAAAGCTCTCTAAAAGGAAATGCAGGCCTTAAACAGTTACTGTACAGAGGCTAGATCTATTGAAGGCTTGCTTTTTGTCTGTATCTCTTTGGTATTGCTCATTGTGTAAGCTATGCATAATAAAAACTAATCTGTGACCTTGCATAAATATTGGGTTTTACACATAGACCCACTTGTGTATTACACATCTTTATAAAAACAAGATTGTAGGCAGGAAAATCATAACCATGATCAAGAAATCAAATGTATTCTGTCTAAAACTTGAGCAACATCAATAATATTCAGTGACTAAAATATAACTTGCAAGACTGACATGCACTACCAAATAGTGCACTTATATGTCTATAAAAGCTGCTTGATTTCTACAGCACTGACCACTCATCTCTCCTGGGATATGGGGAATTGTGAATGTTTAGGTTTCTCTTGGGTGGTACATGGTATGAGGAATCCAAGCCAAAAAAACCCCAACTGGTTAAACATTTAGGAAAAAAAGGTTCTCACAGGGAAGTCCATCCATATGCAAAGTAAAATTCTGTTTGACTGCTATGATAGATGACCTTCACCTGATGAATTTTAAGAAGGCTGACTGAAGAGCTCAGTAATGGGAGATAATCCTGCACTGGAAAAGATGCTTACCAGACAATATGAACAATCTTTCTGGGCTCTGCTTATTCCATGCTTCCTTAAAAAAAGCAACCTGTGATGATACCTCTTATATCTTTTCCTATTGGAAAAGATCATCCTGAATTTCCTTTCAGTTGGAAAAGAACACAGAAGCCTTACCTTGCCTCTATACTTCATTCAGAAACTTGAAAAAGGGCACCTCATGTTTTGGTGTCCTAGGACCACACAGAGAGAACACAGCACAGGAGAATCCCACCTACCATTCAATGCATTACTTAGAAATCTACTGTTTGAATGAGAAAAACCTCAGTGGTGAGGCGTATGCACATTTCTGGGAAGGAAGCTGTTTCTGTAGGAACGATAAAGGCTTCATTTTTAAGAGAAAAAAGAGACAGAATCTGTGATTTCTCAGTCAATGTGAAATAGAGAGGGCACAGCAACTAAAATTGGTGGGGACTTCATCAAGGACGAGAGCTCAAGCACATAAGTAAACAAAGAGCTTTGATTCTGTGTGGCACAAAGGAAGCAGGCCAAAGGCAAAGTAATTTCTTTGCAGCAAAGTTCTTCTCAGTCCTTCTTAGATTGAAAATTTATTTCCTACAAGCTGTAAAGTTCTGATTTTGTGCAAACTTTGAGATTGTTTTTATCTCTTCAGTTCTCCAGTTTTGGGATATATTTATTCTTAAATTGTTTCTGTTCTTTGATTTCAAATCTGCTATCCAATTTCAGTCTCACATTGATGAAAGACTAGCTCCTGTCCCTCCTTCTGTAATCATGAACATTTCAAAGGAATGTATTTTCATGAATTATGTATTATTATGTGAAAAAGTACTAAAAATATATAAAAATAAAAACTCCATATTATTATTTAAATATTATATTTTCCACTCAACTCCTATGGCACTCAATCCTGAATCACAGAGTGCATATATTACCTTCAGGGAAGTTATGTCCATGTCTAATCAGCAGTGAGAATAAAACTAATGTAGCCTTTTAGTAATTGTAGAGACATAAAGGAGTGTAGGAGGGGAAGGAAGCATTGAAGTCAACAAGTCGAGTCCCTTGCTTGTATAGGCAACACATCTTAATAACTCATCCAGTAAAAGAATTTCAAGCGTTTTTCTTCAGTAATTTTTCTTACTTTCCTGTTTTTAAATTTAAGTGCTTTCCCTTTCTTTTTTCTTCCTTCTGCTTACTTTCCTAACAGAAATAAAAAACATTAGCATTTATAGACTAAAATACTTGTACTGAGTGTATCTACTACAATAAGAAATAACCTAAGGAAATAGCATTTTACTACCTCATTTAATGGGAAATGCTATATGTCCTGTCTCAGCAACCTCCATCTCTCATCCAGATAGATAAATCACAGCAACAATCTTGAACAGAATTTTTGGCAAAGCATGGAGACCTGAGGAAAGCATGATGCCTTTCACCTTCTCTCAAGGATTGCCACAAAAAACCACCAAAAAAGATCAGGATATATCTTGGCGATGTTTGAAGATTAGGGGAAAAATGAATGAACTGAAAAAGCAATAGAAACCACATGAGTAGATTTGTGTGATAAAAAAACTGATCACTTGCCACTGCATTTGTGCACTTTGGAAAGACAGAATAAATGAAGTTCTAATTACCTTTACTTGGTCAAACTGCTTGTTTTCATCATAGACAAATGGGTGAGGCAGCTCTTCAAGTGGTATGTCATAGAACTCAGAATCATAAGTTATGGTATCAGCGATAGGTGCAGCTCCAACAGACTCAAAGATAAAGAATCCCAGAAAAATATTTACAAAGGTCTGCATTCTGATTTTTTCCTGAAAGAGAAGAAAACAGACAGATTATAGGTAACCTGGTATTCGCAAGAAATCCATGAAAATTTAATGTCACAAATACAGTACTTACATATATAACACAATATTTCTGATGAATAACTCATGTTTATTCATGATGACTCAGTGGTTTAGTCTGGTTTGCTTCACGAAGAGTCCCTGAGTTTGAGAATTTCTGCAGATTGCTTTGGCCATGTTAATATTTAGAGAATTTAGAAAAGACCTATTGAATTTTATTGGTATAAAAATAAATTGATCTCAATGAGAAAGTATCTGACTGTGGTTTTCCCTTTTCTTCTAGCTTTACCTATTTCCACTGCACCATTTGAAAAGAACTTTTGAGAAACTAGAGAAAAGGTAAATTATTATATTATTTATCTCTATCACAATAGATAATCTTTTGAAATGTACAACAAAGTAATTTTGTCTTACTCCTCCACCATAAGAGAATCAAAAGAAAACAAAAAAAAATATTAGAAAACATTAGAAACTCTTTCTTTGTTGTCTCTGGATGAGCATAACCAAAACATTTTAGACCCACTTGTTTTGTCAGAATATAATTTTAATTGGTTAAATGGTGTGGCATATTCGGACCATACTTTTGCAAAGATCTGGGGAGCAAACTAAAAAATATGTCCTCTATAGCCCCATAAGTGACAGTACTCTGAATTCCTTCGTTATTCAATCAACACCATTTTTAAAGTAGTGAGAAATGGTAGTGTAGTACAGTCACCTGTTCTCCTTGGAGAATAGAACTGTAAAATTGAATTCTCACCCATTTAGAGTTCCAGAATTTTGTAAAATAGTAGAAAATTCATGCTAAGTTTGAACATTAGTGTTTATGAATTACCTTTTCCTTGTAAGTGATGCATTCGCCATTATCATATAAGATGCCTGGCACAAGGCTCTATTCAGAATTCTTTACTTACACCCTGATTTAGTTACAGCTCACATTAGTTTCACCAAAAGCACAGTGATAATGTGCAGTGCATATGTCTAAAAAGTTGTATTATTGATGCAATACCATAAGACACACACTTAAATATTTAATTTAAAAACTATAGTTACTTGTAATAGATTAAATATAAGAAGTATATGAGACATTTTTCTGAATGTATGTGCTGAGAAACAGGCTGAATTTTAGCTTCATGAAAAGAGGTCTTTATGAAGCTGGTTTAGGCATGAGGATATGAAATTCCTCTGGGGATGGTCAGTAATACAAGGCATTCATTTTTCTCTCATTTGCTTTATTCAGAAAGACTTCAGCTGCTTCAGGGAGAAGCTAGAGTCACTGGGGCTTCTCTTTGAGAAGGTTTACATGAATTGCACCTTTCAGTATTAGCTTTCAATCTTACTAAGTATTCTGCTCCATTACAAAAATGAAACATAATAAAATAAAAATGTAATCAATCTCTGAAATAAGCAAGTATATTAGAGCTTGGGGTTTTTTTCTGTCTTTGTGTTTTCTTCTGCCTGTTTTTGACAACATTGGTTTTGGTCTTGCTTTTCTTTTGTGTATCATTTATCCCAGATCATTTGGCTATAAAAGATGTTACCTATTAACCCAAAATGTGGTACTAGTGTACTTTTTCCTCCAAATAAACAATTCTTAAATAAAAAATTGCTCATTATTCAAAATTATTTTCATGTCAAATTGCATAGTAAAAAAAAGTTTTTAAAGGGTTATATAGCTTGATAAGTATTTAATTTTTTACATGCATATAGACAAAACCAGCAAACATAACATCTGTGAAAAAAATTGTTTACTAATGGCTATGGTATCTGCACTTATTTGCAGGGTTTGCATATCTCTATTTCCCTTATGTGTAATATATTGAAACACATTGTAATGATATTGGCATCTGCAGTAGCCGTAAGATCAAATATTTTGATGAAGATTATGTATACCTCTCATAGGAAGGAACTAAGACATATCCAGGGAAAAATAAATAGTCTCCACAATCTGCAAGACTTTGAATCAGTATTACGCATGGTAAAATAAAACAAACACTATAAAAACATTTCCATCGATAAAAATTTAATTAAGAGAGAAGTACCAAAACTCACCTTTAGCTTCCACTCTCTCAAATGCGATGGAGTTACTTGGAATGCAGAGCCAGTGGTATTAGACCTCGACGAATGGCAGTGGCATTCTGGGGTTGTGGGAGGTAGTACAGCTTTCACCCTCGACTGGAGACCTCAGCCCGGGGAGTTTCTCAGACTTCAAACACCTTAATATGTGATTTTTCTGAACTGAATTTTAGGAAGGTCAAACAAAGCTTTGTTGTAAGAAAACGACATTTATTTCACGTCACAGTTTTTTACCCCTTCCCCTCAAATTTCTTACTGCTACTACCAATATACCAGTAACATTTTCAGTTGCATTCCAGAAACAATCTTTTGGGTGGCCTGATAGCCTAGAAATGCAAGTTTTCCAGTGTCCAAAATCAAGGCTTAAACAAATTGGGTTATATATTAAAATTTTTCCTATATATAACATTTCTGTTTTGTGGCTTATTATATGTAATGATGTTTAATGAATTTCCATTTACTGTGGGTATTATCTAGTATGCATTCAGAGGTATTTTTTTCCCCTTCATTTTTCTATAAATACTTATGAGGCAATACTCATAGGATATACTCTATTCAGTATGTTTTCATTCTAGAGGAAATACCAGTTCCTTAATAGATAGGAACATTTATCATATGCTGTAAATGATAGGCAGGGGACCCCTGGTGGCCTAGTGGTTAGCATGCGGGACTCTCACCGCTGCAACCCAGGTTCGAATCCCAGTCCCCCCGGGGCAGATGGAACCCGTTAGCCCTGTGAGGCCATCCATCTATGAGAAGGTCACTCTAAACAAACCTACGTCCTGAGGACCTCACTGCCATTGTCCAAGCTTGCTTGGCCCCGGCAGATGAGCCTTAGGGTTAAAGGGTGGGCTCAGTTCAGCGCATGCTGTGTCTCACCTAAAAAAATCCATTGCGCAGGATTGAAAGGTAAAAGACCTTTCCCCAAATCTTCGTTCGCGAAGACTGGCCATTATTAATGATAGGCATAGACTGTAGTATCATGTGCTCTACTACAGCAGGAATAGGTTTCACTATATTACCATAAGTCAATCTAGCTCTCTTCCTAATTGATCATATTCTCTTTACTATCAATTCCTACTTAACTCCGTGCTTACCTTTACATTACCAGTATATGTACAACATGCAGCTATTCCTCTGAATGTTTTCATCATTTTTCCAACTCTTCAGTGGAATATGCCTCCTAATAATGTCAACATCCTATATTAACAGTTAGGAAACAACATAACTGATTCTGTATCTATGGAGATAATATAAGATTAATGTATAAGCTTAAAATGTGCTAAGGACACTTTATTCCCTTTGCTTTATGCAATTTGCACATTAATTTTTTTTCAGATAAGAAGACCATCCTAGAAAGCCAAATTTGCATGAGACACTGAAAGCACATTAAGAATTTTAAGCCACTTGTCAGTAATTTGAATATCCAACATCAAATTTCTAGTGCTAGCCTAGGGGATTCAAGATGTTTGATTGGGTTTGGCAGATAAGTTGATGGGTGGAAGAACAACAGCTCTGTTAGCAGATAGGTAGAGGGTAGGGTATTGTGGGACATATCAAGTGGCACCAGATATCATGTACTATTTTGGCAGTTGAGTCAAGTGTGCAGTGACTACTCCTGGATGACATACTTCTTTCTAAGGAAGGTTCAGCATGAATTGCTTCTACAAAAACAGGCATCTTGATTCAGGGCAGTGAGTACAGTGGAAACACCACACTATTATGTCCTGTTGCTATTCTTTTTCTTCAGGTCAGTACCCTCAGTTTACTCCCCAAGTTAGTGATCTAGTTGCTTGCAATGCCTGTGTATGCTCCTTCGTGACAAGAAAGCAAATAGCTGTGTCTTCTGCAGCAAAATTCATCATTTCACTTTCTTACTGCTATTAGTAATTGTTATGCTGCTTCATTTGTAAGTAATTAACATTATTTCACTTTTAGGTATATTATTTTCTGCTGTACTTGCTAATTTAAGATTTATTGTGCTAAATCCTCACTGTCAACATGTCTCCTTTATTTACAAAATATATTGTCTCTAGGCAGGTCCAGTATTCATTGCTTTCACCTGTAGAAAAGACCCCAATTTTCAATTCTTTATTTAAGGAAAATTCTTATTGACAACAACTTATTCATGTATCTATTAATGTTGTTCTTCATTCTTACACAACTAACTTGATTTAGATGTACCAAGACCTAGGGTCTGAAACCTTTGTATCTTTTGGTCTGTGGGTTGGCTTTTTTTGTTTCGTAAGACCAATGAAGTTCAAACCACTTTGTGTCTAGATCTTAATCTTGGTATTAATGGTTTACTGTATTCCTGTCAGACTACAATATACTTTGCTGGTCCTGTTTTCCAGAAATAATAAGCAAGTAAAATTAATTGAAGGCAAATGTTGACTTAAAAACATTCAAATGTCTTCTATTTTTTGTTAGGGCTGTGGAAACTTATCTGAAAAGAATATGTTTTACACAAAGAATTTTACAAGCTTATGAGCATGATGTTTCGTATAGCACACAAATAAGAAAACAGTTTTGTTTGTTTCAGTTTATGCTTTAAAGAACCAGAACTTGGAGATTGAGTGGTATATGTGTAGGGGACAGACCTTAGTTGATGCTTAAATTAATGTTTGGCATTTTGTTTGATCTTGGATGCTAGAAGGCCTGATGCTAGCGATCCTAGACTAGCTAGAAACCCAACAGACGCAAAAAAAGATAGATAAAGGAAAAAAAGGACCACTTATAGGCCTTGTGGTATTGCTGAGAAAAAAACCCAAGCATTTAAAAAAAGGTCACAGAAAACCTGTGCTTGAGCTAGAACCTTATTCAGATCACTGCTTGTGCTTTCTGAATCCTGTTATCACAGAAGATAATGAAATTCCTGAGTCTGACTAAAGGACACTTGAGAGTGAGTTTCTTATGTCCTCTAATTAGTCCCTTCACTGACATTTGGTTTTTTTCCAGATCCTCTGGCCTTGTGCAGTTTAAGTTACTGTCTTGTGAACTTCCTCAATTGCCTCTAAATCTTGCTGTCTTACTTACTTGGTCTTGATTAAAAGCTCACTGGAGTTAGTGGAGAGTTCTGTCTTATTCAGTGGTTTTTGGAGCACTACATCTGGAAGCACATCCAGCTGTTGACCACTGCCTAACACATTCCTAGCTAAAATGCACTCCCACTGCATAATTTCTGGCAGCAGTAAATGAATTAATTTATTTCCCTGTTTTCTGAGACAGCTTTGTTTCCATTTCAGTTCTCCTAGTTCTTGGAGGTGCAGTGACTCCTAACTGTGTCCTTGAACTCAGTGCCAAAGCCTCAGGGTTGTCTTATTCTTGTTTTTCCAAAACCTTGATTATAAAGCACTGAGCCTTTGATTCAGACTGTCAGCATTCACTTGATATAAATATAAGTTTTTCTTTGCTTTCTTTTCTTTTGG